TTACTGGGGAAGGCTGCCGTTGACATTATTATTATTATTATTATTATTATTATTATTATTATTATTATTATTATTATTATTATTATTAATCTATTGCTCGGGTTCTCAGCGATGCAGGTCATTTGACTTTCCCTCTATGCTACGAAAAACCGACCGCAGCCGAAGGTCACCTTCATTCGGAGCCTTGGAACCATAGTGCTAGAGAAAATACTGAGGCGCCAAGTGTGACTTTGTGGCGACAGTGAGGCAGCCCGCTACCTGTTTGCTACAGGAGCCTTCGGCGCCCGCGGTCATAGAAATGTTCGCAGCGATCCCCTTTCTCCTTACTTCTTTATTCCTTTTCTTTCTTTTCTTTCTTTTTTTTTTTTTTTTTAATGCACATAGGCATATTCCTATGCATGTGTATATATACATATATATACATGCATACATTTGCACACACACATCTTCCCAGTGAATTGGTTAGTTACACGGGGGAGAGGCGCTTGCCATTAATCTGGGAACAAACTGCTAACCTCGGTGACTGGTATTTTAGCTTTTCTTTTCTCACTTCTCTTAGTGCGGGGAGAGCAGTAAAGCCTGTGTGGACTGATTGTGAGGGGCTCTGCTGGAATTTGGCAGGCCAGGGGCTTGGAGAGAAGCCCCATGCTGACTCCTATTCAGCGGGCCAGTTTTCCGCGAGCTTTGGAAGTTTCACTCAGCCGTGCACTCAATGGCTTCACAAAGCTGATTACAAGCTTCAGCGCATTCCTGAAGGAGCCAAAAGCGACGCAGGTGCAAACGAGCCGAGGGAGCCCCTTATCCCGGTGACAGAATGGGACAAGCTGGGAAAGGCTTGGACCACACAAATCCAAGGCTCACCAGGCAGCAGCAAGCCTGCCTTGGGAACCGGGGATCATTATCCGCTCCATTCAGCGGGGACCCAGAAACCGCAGCAGCACGTCCCTGCGCTGGGGACAGCTCCGGCTCTACCGCGCCAGCAAGGAGCAGCACCGCTTCACCTGACATCCCCTACCGGGTGTTTCTTTTTTCTCTTTTTTTTTTTTTTTTTTTTTGTACTACTTTCGCCTTTGCCTAATGCATAAGACAAAAACACCTACCTTCGATCGCTCTCCCATCCCGACCTGTTTTCTAGCTCTGCATCTATTGGGTTTCAGTCTGACACTTAAAGTGTCTGTGTGTGTGTGTGTATATATATATATGTATATATATGTGTGTGTGTATATATATATATATATATATATAAGTGCTCCAACACACGCTAATTGAGCCCTTGGTACCCTTCCCCCCGTGCCCTTCATTGCTTTCCCACATAAAAACAGTGCTTAAGGATCTGCCTGAGGATCCAGTACAGAAAACGCACTGATCCGAAATAGCAGGTTCTCTCCCGACTGAAGTTCGCTGACAAACACCCCATTTTGGAGGCTGCCTTTAATTCCAGAGAGAACCCAGCCGGCGCTGCACCCGGCTTCTCTCCCCCCTCCGCAATTACGCGTTCTGCCCGATTCCCACAGAAACCCCCCGCGACACAAGCGCCTGGTGAATGCTTAGCGACTTCATGAAAGCAGCCCACGGTCCCTGCCCTTCCTGCCTCCCCAGGGAGAGAGGGGGTGGCGAGGAACCGAGGGGGGTCTCGGCRCCGGAGAGCGCGAGGCGAGATTCCCTTTAATTCGGGGTTCCTGGGAGGAGCTCCCTTCGCCTCCGCTCCCTCGCCCCCTTTCCTCGCTGCCGTCCTTCCTCTCCAGTCGGGAGAAGAAGCTGCACTTTACTTTGCTGCGAAATTAATTACGGCCCTTCCTCGCTATCAATTACCGAGGAATCAGCCCTTTCTTCGCAGAGGAGAAATAATCAAAAGGCTTTCAATCTGGGGGGGGGAATGGGGGAGTGGGGAGGTGGGACCTCGGAGCACATAATGCAGCCAGGGGGCTGCCACGCTCCTGGCCGCTGGTTTCATATGCAAATGGCGAGGCTGCCTCCAAGTTATCATTTCAGTTAGATTTTTTTTTTTTTTTTTTGGTAATGTTATTATTGTGTCGGCATTTTTTTAATAGCCACATGCCCCCCCGCTCCCCCACCCCGCCTTGAAACGAGGTTTTCTTGGCGATCGGCCACGCCGCTTCTTCCTCGGGCACCTCTCCCCCCGGGCTTGCGGCTGCCCCACGTCCCCGTTCATTTCGCCCTAYAGAAACGAGGGCAGCGCGGCCGGGCAGCCGGCATTAAAGCGATCTCGCCGCKCCGGGGCTCGACCTCCTCTCCGCGCTGCTCCGCGGGGTCCGCCGGGTTCCGCGGCCCGCCTCGTCCCCGCACCGGGCACCCGCAGCCCGCGGCCGTCGGCGAGCGGCTGCCTTGGCAGAAAGGTGCAGCTTTGCGATGTTCTTTTGTCTGATAACTAATTCAAGTTAATGCGATCTTTATGTAAAGCTAACAGCGGATAATTGTCTATTTTCTCGCCAACAATCTCCATCACAATCACTTATCTGGAAACCTGCGGTTGTATTAATCGTTATATTTCCCGAGATAAGCGTCTCTCGAATTATCAGTAAACACTGGAGGGAAATTAAACAAACTCCGGAGGCACTTAAGTTTCCTCCACAGCTTTTAACCCCCTCCGTTGGGGAGGAAAAGGGCAGGGAGGGGAAAGGATGAGGAAGAAAAATTGGTGACTGAAGCAAAAGATGAAAGGGGATGTGTAGAGCAGAAGACAAGGGCCTGAACTTCGAGATAAATTTGAAGAGTCCCCATGGCGAGGGGAAGATTCAGTGCATCTGAATCKGACGCACTCACACACACCTTACACTGTTCAGTGCCCAGGGTCCGACTTAGCAGCCCTCGGGACCTTGTTGGCAATTCCCGTAAATCATGTAATTAAGTGTATTAGGGGCTGCAGGGGAAAGAAAGTGGCTAGGAGAGAATACACCGAAAGATTAAGCAGAAGTTGCCTAGCTTTAAGTCTGTTGTACGAGGAGGAGAGAGTTCTGCTTCTTTCGGAGAATCACCATATTAGCACAATTATTGGCAATATTTATACTAGAGAGTAATCTGAACCCCAGGAGGGTAACGGAGAGTGCGAGAGAGCGAAACTACTGTGGGAATATGTTTTACTGCTCAGATCCCATCAGTTCTGTTAGGTGTAAAGAAATTATAGCAAATTGTGCTGGAAAACCCTCCAGGGAAAACATACTTGTATGACAAAGATTTTGTCTTTTTGAGATGAAGTCAAAACATCGGTGTAAAATGAAACTCATTTTAGGGGCGCTGCCATTGTATGTGTTTACTCGAGCACCTGGGAAGGGGTGGGGGCGACAAACTATGACATTTTATAGGGGAACTTGGGGCAATAGAGCTTTTCCAACTTCTATGGGGGGAAAAAAAAAGAGGTTTGTTCCAGGCTCTCTTTTCGGACCATCTGAGACAACCGCTCCAAGCCCAGAAAATACTGCAGTCCTCCTGTGCTGTGTGGTGCTTGCTAATAACTGTCCCCGCGCTTTGCATTTGTAGGAGAGTTTTCCACGTTCAAAGTGCCTTGTGAACATTAACTAATTAATCCTGGCACTTAGTTACAGAGTGGGCACCAAGGAATTTCACAACTCATCTCTGTGATGTGCTTTACTTATTGTCCTCTTATGATTTTAATAAGTAAGTTTCAATATGTAGAGGTTTCCAGTGGCAGAGCTCCCATCTTTGCCAGGGGAAAGAAAGGGTTAGAAAAAAAATTCAAATCAAGAAAAAAGAAGTCAAAACAAAAAACAAATCTGCAAACTTTGAATACAGATGTTTATTTGTCAGCACATATGTTTATGTGTCAGCAGAGAATATTGCCACATATATGTGTGTGTGTATATATATATATATATATATATATAAAACCCCCCAAAAAATACAAATAAAAAAGACAAATCCAGAACTACTTAAATTCTCGGACTGTTTGTTTCTCTTGTGTTAAAAGTTCCCAGGGTAGCTTTTTCTTGCAGCATTTGAGAATCATCCCACTTCATCTCTCACCTGAATCTTGTCATCTGTGCCATCTTGAAGTGATCTGTGAACAATGCTGGTCCCTTGGACAGCCCAAGCTGGTCAATCAGGCAGAACAGACTATGCAAATGGAATGGAAAGGCGAAGCGATGGAGAACACTGGCCTCCATTGTCTTGGGAATTTCAAAGCGAAGCCCAGCTGCAGCAGGCGTTGCTGTCTCGGACCCTTGGTTGCTACTCTAATGTCATCATTGCACAACATCACATTTTGAAAACTATACAAGCTGAATGCATGAGCAGCCCTTCGCAAGGATTTCACTCCTCCACGACATCTTTCGGAGTCACCGAAAAAAAAAAAAGGAGGGGGGACCCACAGAACAACTGGGGACTGGGATTTGAGCCACATTGTCCGATGCGATCTCTGGGTGCCTTTTCCTACACTCGTAATAACTGTGGTAGAGTTGATGCTAAATATCTTTTGCAACCTTTTGGTGAATGCATTCCCCCTTTTTTCCCCCCTCTCCAACTCCTGCCTCACTCCCCCCAGTCAAATTGGATAGTTTTTTAAGTTATATTTAACTTATTTTAGGTGGGGTCAATTCAGGCAATTTAATGAGCTAGCTCTGAGGAAACGTTCCCGAGAGCAGGCAATGAAGTATTTATTCATAACTGCCTCAAAAACTTCAGATACACAGGGCTTTAGAAAAGTCAGGCAGTGTCTTTACAAGTGATTAATGCAGCAGTTAAGCTGTATTTTTATGGGGCCGCTAAGAGATTTTTTTTTTTTTTGAATACTGGCTTCTTAATACAATCATGCAGTTGCCACTCCTAAATATTCATTAAAGTCTTGCTGCAGAGCTCCCCTTTGCAATGTTGGTACCAAAGTTTAACATGTTTAACTCGATGTGAAAATGTAGCTTTTACTGCAGTAAAGCTGAGAGATGTAGGATGATTAATGTGCATTTTAAAGTGGCTAAGTCCTTGCCCGTGTTTCACTCACCATTTCTTTTATTTTCTTTTGTCTGTAGGTGACATTTGTGATCACCATGTGGTGAGCAGAGGAAACTCCCCTCTTTTCCATCCTCATCTCAGGAGCCTTCACTCAAGGAGCAAAGGTCTGTGTGATCAGTATCTTAAAACGTTGGGGACTGAACCTTTACTTCATTGCTGTCTGYTATCTCTCAGGAACTGGTGGATCAAGAACTTCTTCTCCAGCAACAAACCTACTGCAACGAGCCTACAGAGATGGACAATACCATAGCCAGACTCGGACACTGACTAACTCATAGATGGAGGGTCATACTTCTGAGTATGTGTGGGCTATCTTTACCATTCATGCAGGAACAGAGAACAACATTTCATCAGACTAAGAGAACAAGTCAAAAAAACTATTAATTACGTTTATTGCAGATCCGAGATTAACTCATTTTTTCTCCTTCCTGTAAACTAGTGCTTTTATTTTTGTTGGGGTAATGTATTCTGTGATGACATCATGTAAATTACAAATGAAGCAAAAGATGTAATTACTTAAAAGTTAGGAATTATCCACTACAATTTGATTAACTTCCTAAATTTAACTCCTTTCAGAATCAAGTGTGTTTGTAAGATGAGAAAGATGATAAACAGAAATAAAAATAAATTAATAAAGAAATGTTGAAGTGAATGTGGTAATTAAGTTACTGCATGTGTGCTGCTAGATCTTCTGGCTGAAAGTTTCTTTCTCCTAGCCAAAGGCAGAATCTGTAAATTTATCTCTCTAAGGACAAGTTCTGGGTGAAAAGCAAATCAGTGTTTCCTCCTAGGTCAGCTTCTTGGCCAAATGAGTAAAGATGGAAACTTTGACTATTTTAAACCTTTCCCCTCTGGAGTATTGTTAAGAGATATCTATAAGATTCTCTCCTCTGTCAGTTCACCACTTTCCCCATAACACCAGTTKTTTCCCCACCTCATTCATTTCTTAGGAGGTCCAGGGCATTTTTGAACTATCCTTGAAGTCTCTCCCTGGCTAATCTGGATGTAGAAACCCAGAGGAAAAGCAATTTTGTGGAACCACTGACTACACAGAGGACAACTGGAATGCACATGGCCAGGAACACATGCTCTGTTCCTGTAGATGAATGTATCCCCATCTGGAGCGATTTGGTGGAGAAGSAGGGTGCAGTGGCTAGCTGCAGACCACTACTTGTCCCTTTGCTGGGCACCACCTCATCCCTTTGGTAAGAGGATAGTTGATTACTCCTGGTTCATCCTAACTTCCTGGTAGTGGTGGGAAAGACAGGCAGCCCAATTTCCTCTTCACCTGGTCAAAGGCCTGCAGGTCCTTGACCCAAATACTTTCCTCTTCCCAGTTACACACTTCCTAACCCATGTCCAGCCAGTGGTTAGTCCTTCCAGGCACCCCCCGCTGCCTAATGCATCAGAGATGAAGATCTTGTGGTGGTTCAACCAACCCCACGTCCCCCAGACCTTCTGCAGTTCAAACATCACAACCTGTTCCTATTACCACAGGTAGACTGGGTTTGATGCTATCAAGACCATGATGGACCCRGATCTGCCCCTGACTTTAGAGGACTCCTCTCCCTCAGCTTGGATGCTGGGGTATCCATCATGGTCTTACAGCCATGATGTCTAAACCCTGCTTCATCACTCTTCCTGGTTCCCCCACACGTGCCTGCCAGCACAAGCTAATTGGAAACAACAGCTACTCCTCCCTTGAGAAGGTGAACTTTGTTTTTTTCTCACAGCTGGAACTTCTRCCCCTTCCCCCTACCAGCTCCAGTCCTGGTATATTCAGTCACAGTTATCTCTGCTCATGCACTGACTGTATTTTTCATGTTTATTATCATCCAACACAGTGTAGTGCCATCTGGCACACGCACACACAGGGRGAAGAAAACCATATATCCAGTAAATGGAGCACACAGGGTTTGGGTTTTTTCTGTTTGTTTGTTTTTCTTATTCTTCCAGTTTCAGTTCAAAATTATGCAGAAGGAATAACAATTCACTCTCATGAAAAATGATCAGAAATACCAGTTATGAAATTAAAAATTACAGGAGAGCAGTAATGCCAAGAATGGACAGGATCACCTCTTGCACTGAAACAGTCTCAKCTTTTCTTCCTTGTGTGCTTCATTTCACCTTATGTCCAGATAAGAAACAGAATTATTTTCAAACATTTGCGTTAGCTCTGTTTCCTCAGTATTTGTTCTGATCTTTCATATCACTGTGTTACTACAAGACATTTATTTTAAGTAAGTAGTACATAACAAATCACATTTCTTTGAACCAATAGAATACTATGAGCCATGCTGCAGCCTTTGAGATCTTTGCTATTTTCACTGCTACAGTGTTAGAGTGCAATAAAAATATATATAATAGTTTCAGTGAAACCTGTTACCTAAAGCAATGCTACATTATTTCAGAGATAGTTTTATAAGAGAGGTATATAAACAAAGCATTTTTCTTCTGTGATAATACATACAGGGTAAGATTATCAGTGGAGTTGCTGATAAAAATATATTACCCAATGTATTACACTATTTAGTTCTTTTTTTTTTTTTTTGCTTTTTACTTTAATTCGGTCTAATTACTGTACTATGATCTAAGTCAGCAATCTAAAATTGACTATCAACTAAACTTTTAAAGAACATACATATGCAAGATAATGATGAAATTTAAATTACTGTCAGTTATTTTGTAACGTCTACACCACAAGAAAGCAAACCTCCAGGTATTTTCTTTTTATTTATTCCTTTAGCATTGTACTTTGTTTTCCAGGGTAGAATTATCTGCCATTTCCAAGCTATCATAAATAATAATAATAATAATAATAATAATAATAATAATAATAATAAATATGTAGGATATTTTTTTCCAATTTGAAAAAAAAAGTGATAGAAAAGATTTCTTAGGAAAAAATTCTCAGTTCCTCTGATTTCTTTCTCAGAAATACAGCTTCTTGGCTTGCAGACAATCAGAATGGTAAAACTATTCCCTGATCCTGCTAACACAGAGAAACAGATTTCAGCATGGTTAATATAGTATCTGTATATCGAGTTAGACTCTGGTCTCACATCTGTTTAAAATTCAGCATATCCTCTGCTAATGCCCTGATCCAAGGCTAAGTGATGCCCCTGTAATGACTTCAAGTAGCCTTTGGATCAAGGCCTTTTACACCACTGCCACTAAGATGAGAAAGGCTATTTTTTCTATGTCTTTATCCTCGTGTGAAATCAGATTAATTTCGAATAAATTAGAAATGCTTGAACAGATACATTTGGAGTTACATTTTTGTGACAATATTTTTTATTTGAAAGTTTTCTTAAAAATGCAGTTCAATAGCAAAATTAAAATTTGCACTTTTTAAAATTTCTCTTCACTTCTGATTTTTGGATGCACTGCATTTTACTTCTACACATATGCATTCATTTCACTATTTCTGACAATAAAGCATTGCAATTTTTATGWAAATAACAAGTAAAAAGAAAATCTATTGTAAAATACAATGTATGACAAATTCATTGAAACAAGCAAAATAATTTAAATAATGGTTATTCAATAAATGTCAAGAAAGCAAGCCTACACCTTTACTGATTGAGACTACTGTGGAATTTATAAGAAAATGATCAAGGGAGACTTTTATGCAGTAATATATGGCGCTTGTTCCAGTTGTTAAGCACATAATTAGAAATTYAGCAAGTCTTACCAAGGAGGGTCATAAACAACCACAATTAAAAACTCAAATCCTTTTCTACTTTGTATGGCAATGTATATGGGGAAAAAAAAGGTATTTGTTTTTTGTGATGACTCAGATTAGCTCCAATTAAACACAGATTTAACTCAGAAAGCTGTAAAGCAAAGCAAACAGAACTTTGCTGCTTTATGTTAGATGTTTTACTCAGGAACTGGCAGAAAYGTTTTAGGCATCTCTAACAAAAGAGGTATAAAAGAAATCAAAGCAGAAGGAACAGACAGAATGCTGCAAGTGTAAAGCAAAATATTGGTTGGTAAGCATTAATAGATRATGTTAATCTACTTGCCCCTTTATTTCACATTGTATGCACTGCAAAGTTGAATTACAAAAAAAATCTTGTTGCAAATGGCTTTAGTTTTCAAAGATTTCAGTGTCTACATAAATATTCTCCATCTGAATATTCAGAATGCATATACTTTGCTTAAAAAATCTGTAAAATTTGAGCATTGCTCGGAAAGAGGCAGAGTGATATTTCCATGTGGTAAAACTACCTTGTGCCACTTCTATGAATTGAAAAAAGCAGAGTAGATTTGCCTTGTTAAAACATRTGTGAGAAGACAATATGCATGGAAATAAAATTTATCATAATTAAGTGACACATCTAGATTATAATATTATTCTTAGGCCATTACAAATATCAGGAAAGGGCAATGAGGCTTCCTTTAAGCTATATATWTWTTTTTTTTAGGAATTTAAATGATTAGAGTTGTTTGTTCACTCATCTACTTTAAATATGAAGTTTACCTCCATTTTTTCCCCCATTTGTTTCCTTCACTTCCCTGAAGTTGCTCTCCAAGTGCATAAACCTTGATATATCATAAACTTTGTTGTTGCTGCTTCACTGTGGTGGTTCTGATCATCTCGGGACAAATGTGACAGTTTAAACTGATGACTGACCACTCATTGTGTTAGTGCTGTTTCCTGGTTATCTAATTATTATTTATTTCCCTCTYGTTCTATTGTTTCTTTCCTTATGAAGACTCCTGTTAGTTCTGATAAAATTCCTTCTAGCACGACTGAAACACCAAGGGTTGGTTAAAGGGATATTCTCTGAATGATAACACAAAGAGCATATAAAGAATGCATCATAGTAGTCAGTACTATAATGCAATTTATTTTCACTATCCACCCTCTACACTACTGGATTAGTCACTTYACTAATGAGCAAATGACCCCTAACTTACTGGAGTGGGAACTTAATGTGCAGATCTTTCCTTCACCAGTGCAAATGAACTGCAGCTCACTCACCATTATATAATCACTTAATATTTATGGCTCCTTCCTGTATTTCTTGGGCATTTCATACTCAGTGGGAGTTTCATATGGGTGAAAAATGTGGGATCTGGTGACAAAACAGATACCGGGTTTTATATGCTTTTATTACTGCAGCGAATGTTATTCAAAGATGCTTCTTGCATCTTTGCCAGATTAAACCAAGAGCCTGTAAGCAGCCAATGAATCAGTTTTAAAAAGCATTTTTTATATACATGCAATACATTCAAGATGTTATTTTCTAAGGTAGACATCCTTCAAATTTATCGTCCTGATCGCAGGTTAGCAAGACTTTAAATTTAAGAATAATTTATCAGGTTATTCACTACACGAATATAACCTGTGTCCCTGAAATAAAAAAATTGACACTGTGAAATCTAAAATATTCTGAATTTAAGAATGTAAAATGAGAGCTTGACTTGTGGTATCTCACTTTTAAATATACAATCTTTTCCTCAATTTCACATATTGTTCAGATATTTTTACAGATCCCAGAAGTTA